GATGATGATGATGATGATGATGATGATGATGATGATGATGATGATGATGATGATTTAATTTTTCTACGTAGAGGCTACTTTTGATTTTCTTCTCACTATTACACCAAAGCAAAGATTTCATAAGATGCCACCTTATACTAGGGCAGGCTGCTTTTCTTCCTAACTGTTAAATTATTAGCAATGGTTCCTCATGGACTAGTCTCATTGCCCATTACAGGATGCTTTTAACAGAATATGCCAGAGATTATAGTTATCTACTGAGTAACTGTGAAACCATAAAGTGAAGAAACTATAGATTTCCAGTATTACTGAATTACAACTTCTGCTAGTCACAGCAAGCCTGGTCAATAATGATGAATGCTGGATAATGCCATTCAGCAACATCTTGGTTACCACTGACACAAAGGTTACCTGCTCTTGACACAAAAGATTCAAGCTTGTTTTTAAAAAAGTCTTTGTTTACTCTGTTCGCTACCTGGATTGAGAAGGCTTCACAAATTTGCACCATGTGGAACTAACTTAGTTCACCTTACTATTTTGTAGCAAAACTTGGGGGCATCTTTTTTCATGAGCAAGGCACTACATTTGGTTTTAAAAATGCTTACCATCATTATCATCCATTTACCTGCATTTTTATGAGCAGCATGTATTCTTTTTGAAAAGAATGGGGGGGGGGTTATACGGAGGGAGTCATTAATGTTCTAATTTATTTCTCCCTCTCTTTTGAGACAGCTGCTTTATGAAAAACAATTATATCCTATGGATGCCTCAAATAAGTAAAGTTCAGAGTTTCAGAAAAATGAGTGCAGAGGTTAGGCATATAATAGTAGATGAAAGCCAGTTTTGGAAATGAGAGAAGGTCTACCCCCTCCCCTTTGCTTATTCATATTGAATTAACAGAAACTAAGCACTTTGACCTCAGTGGAGTATTTCTGCTGCTGTTATTGAGAAAATGTATGAAAATGTATGGGGTAGGTTCTGAGTACGTTATATTGCACAAGAAAACCTGCCAAAATAAAATCTGTTGCAATCCATATAGCTCAGGGTTGAATTGTGGGGTTCTTGGTTTTCTTTTTGTAGTCTGGTAATGAAATGTCTGCAAGAAAAAAGCAAGCTTAACCAACACCAAGAACCCCAAAAAACAAAATCTGTTCCCCTCTTTTGGTGGACAAGGTGTTGCGTTTCTCCTTCTGCATACCATGTCATGGTTTATACATATAGTGTTAGAGTAATGCTTCCTAGGATTAGAAAACTCACTGTTATGAAGAATTACATCAAAGCCATTTCTTCCTTCCCCTCATATCCTTCAAACAGAGTATATAAGAAGTTTTTTCTTTCTTAAGTATCCCTAACGTTAGTGAAGTGTAAGTTTAGAGTAATTAACCTTCTATTGACTTCCTTTTAAAGTTTCTGAATAGTTTCTGAGGGCTTTCCTTGCCAGGTTTAAATTGTCATTTTCCATGCATCATTATCAAATCAGTCTAATCAAAATGTTGGGTAATTATATTATCAAGCTACAAAATATTCACCTTTATTCAGTGCAGGGCCAGAAGAATTTATAGTCTTAGGGGGTCTGGAACATGCAGGTTTTGTCCTCACAGAGGCTCTGGATGGCAGCATGCTCATTTTGAAGTTACTTGTCCTAATATATTAAAATAGGGTTTAGCCACTAGAGTCCACAGGGATGCATCCTGCCTAATGAGGAATCTTGATACTTCATCAAGGAATGTACATAAAAGAGGCTATCATTGTAGAAGAAGAATTTGAGATTAAGGCGGCCTTCTATTCATAAAGAAAAAAAAGAGGAAACACATAAGCAATGAAGTGAACAAAAAAGCACACATTTATATAAACTTTGTTTATGCTGTTAGGTTGAGCTGAAATTTTAAAAATTATTATTATAATTTAAATGGGGAAAAAAATACATCCCACAACCAGGACTAAAATATTGTGATCAGTTGATTTGTATACTGCCTGCTCACTCTACTGCCCAGGTGCAGATACTTTGTGGAAAACTTCAGGCTCTCACCCTCCTTGCTTGTTCTGCTCCTTTATTTATTAACTAGAATGAGCTGTTCAAATAGAGCAAGGATAGACAACATTGGGTATTCCAAAGGTTCTGCATGTCAACTCTTATTAGCTTCCAGCAACATAGTTAATGGCAAAGGATTGTGTGAGTTGTGGTCCAAAACGTCTGGAGCACACCTGGTTGCCTACATCTGAAATAGAAGATATCTTCAAATAGAGAATTGTCCTCAGAAAAATAGGGCATGTGGATACTCTATTTCTGATGGGTGATTCTTAAGGAGGGAATCCTTGGCTTCCCCCTTTTAACAAGAAGATTTCTAATAGATAATCACTGAAAATCATGTAATGTAAACCACATCATGAAGCATACGTTGGTGAGAATTGTGCAAGGACATGAATCCAGAAAGAGAGGGAGAGAAAGAGATTTCAAGATGAGCTACTTATAAAAAGCTTAGTCCCAAAACTGCTATGAACTCTTTAATCCTTCTCTTAATATGTTAATGTTAGCAGTATATATTTTTGAGGATTCCTTCCCCTTGTACACAGAATACTTTTCAGGATAAATGGTTCTGCATTTATCATATATACTTGTAAAAGCCAGTGATAGTGCAAAATGTTGTTTTTGCTTTAAAAAGCCAAATTTCACCCTAGCTAAAAATGAACATTCTTTCCACTCACAGTCAGAATTTACTTTCAGCTACAAGACTTGGTAAGAGTCAACTGATTCCTATAGAAGTGTAGAGAGACCTGAGCAGTATAATGGTTAAGGTGTTGGATCAGAACCTGGGAGACTGAAGTTCAAGTCCACTTTCTGTTACAGAAGCTGACTGGTGACTAATCACCATCTCTCAAAACAATATACCCCAGGTTTATTATTCTCAGTAAAATTGGAATGGCCGGGTAGCAAAAAATAGCATCCTCTTAATCCATAACAGTCTTCTACAACCTCTAGATGTGTGAGACCACAGACCCTAGATCAGCAAAACAGATTGTTCCTGACATTTTAAAACAATTCAGCCCCCTGAAAAATTAAAAGGAACATGATCTATCTTGGTCTTCTTAATGTGTTGGTTTTAGAGGTAGAACAGCACATAGGAGGATGAGCGTTTATTCACAAGAGGTTAGCTGCTGTCTATATCCTGAAATGGTTCAATTTTAGGAGATGTGATCATGTATGATCATATATGATCACAATGCCATCTGTCCTGGTTAACAGAGGGCAGTCCTCTATTTGAACAACTGTCCAGTCCAAAACCAGTTTATACAGTAGATAAAAAATATCTACAAAATAAAAAATGGCAAATACTATCCTGCCTTTAATAGATGCATAGAGTCCAGATCATAGGAATCAATTGTTCTACTCTACTTTGTCTTGGTTAAACCCTGGGGTACCATGTCGAGTTTTGGGCACCACTGTTCAAAATGGACCATGATAAACTGTTGCAAGTTCAGAGGACAGCTATTCAGATGGTGAAGGATCTGGAAACTGAAGCTTTTGAGGAATAGTTAAAGGATCTGGGTATATTTAAGCCTACAAAAGAGGGGAGATATGATAAGAGTCTTCAAATAACTGAAGAGCTTTGTCATAGAAGAGAGAGTGCATTTATTCACTATTGCCTGAGAGGGCAGGACCAGAACCAATGAGTAAAAGCTACAA